AATCGGACACAGAAAGGCAACTCGCAGCTAAGCCGACTGGAGCTCTGTAGGAGATATTTGGAAGGAGTCGATTAAGGACGACCGATTATTTACTACAGTATTAATGAGGCTTGATTTACTCGATTCTTGTCTCTCACTACTGTGATCTGTTGTTTATCCTGGAGCACTTTTGAAGAAACTCTCGTTTCTTGTGGACTATTGATACTAGTTTTGACCCTGCCCACCACCGAGCCATCTTTACCGGCCGAAGGGTATGCCTTCGGTGTAGATCTCCTGAAGGGGCCGATTTCTCTTTTGGTGAGTCGTATAACAGTTTCCTTCAGTTTTGGGTCGACTGCTCTATGCGCCTCTTTGGATTGAGTAGTATTGACACTAAATGGAGAATCCGGTGAGATTCTCAATTACCCCCTAGTGCTCAGTTCCACTCTACCTGCTCTTCCCAGAAGCATGTCTCTGCTATGAGTTCCATGGAACACTATCGACAGTGGGCGTGGATGGGGTGCCTTGGGACCCTTCCACAGTTCAATCCTATGGCATTTGCTGTATTTTGTGTCCGGTGACAGCCCTGCTAGGCTACGGGCATTCATTACATGCCCGTGGTTCATTTTCCATCTAGCCTTCGCCTCGTTTATCATGGGCTCTGCGCAATTGTGCAGCAGAAGTCTTCTGCTCCTTGCAAAGACCTTTTCGGTGATGGCCTTCATCTTCGCCATCTGTGCATTCAAATCATCTATTTCTTTCCTTAACGCCTCCAAGCTGGCCTCAGACGACTTTTTCGTCGACTTCTTCTTTTTCACCTGGGGTAGCTGCTCTGGGCTTCTCGTAGCTGGTGCCCGCTCACACAGGGCGTTTCCTTGCGCCGCACTTTGGGAGAACTGCTCCTGAAGATCCTCTGCGTCTTGAGTCCTTGGCCGAAGAGTGCCTATCAGTAAGTGAGCGCACTCTTCAGTAAACATTACACAGCGTGTGCACATCCATTTCAGGCTTTTGTGCTTCGTCTGTAGTTGATAATCCTGTTTTGTTAAGTTCGAAAACAGCTAGTGATACCAATCCGGGCACCTATCGCACTGGATACCAGAAATCATAACTTTCTGACATGACTTATTACCGCATGTGTGTAAAGATTGTAGTAGTCGTAGTAATACGCACGGAATTCGGAACACCAACCACGCAATATGAATTATAGGACCCGAATCGATAATCACCTATCACGGACTGGATTGCAGAAGCAATGTCCCACGAGAACGTAGACGAGAGGAAAAGGCCAGAGGACAGGCAATAAGTAGTTCGTTTATTGGAAGAAATGAAGATGATTAAATAATATGTACAAAGGGAGATTATTGGTCACCTGGGCATCTACCAATTGGATTGCAGCACTGCTTGCATAAACTCGCTTCTGTCTGCCTTGTCTAGGATTGGCTGGTACCATCCGCAAATGACGTGTATTCAGAAGCTATGCACGTGCTATTGACGTCAGCATTCAAACTGGATTGTTCACCAATGTCCTGAAATCGTAACGCTCCGCTCCAGGGTAGGCGCCATCGTGTAAGCCGGGATCACCACAATGTGTCACGGTTTTACCGGCAAGCCATTTTGCAAGTGATTCCTTCTCGAATGGGAAAGAGTATGCACAATACAAAATTCCAACCTTGTCGGTGAACAACTACAGAACAGATAAGATCACGCTAACGGGACACACAAAAGCGGTCAAAACACTACATGGTAAAAACACACCTGTCGGAGAGTGAAGTTCTCCGAATAACAACAGACCATAGTAAATACTAAGATCCGGTAAATTTGTGAAATAACTAAGGTTATTTCACGAACCAACGCACGTAAAATCGTAAGCAGCAGAGCAGTTCGAAAATTCAAACCGTGCGGTAACTCACAAGGTTGATGCCAGCAACCCTTGCCACATCACCTGGAACTTTTTCAACAGCTGCTTCCCAATATTTCCGTGGTTACATACCAAGTGATCGTATTTTTCGGACTGGCAAATCACAGCAAACGATGCATGTGTCCTTATCGAAGGCTCTCTCTAGCTTTCTATGAGGGAACTCTGTATTGACATCAACCAACCCCCATTCTACATATACCCTTCCTCCCCTGCATCTCATTGTTTTACCACACCAAGGCCACCTCTTTGGTCAGTACGTGTTTACTTTCACTTTCCTCACGCTCTCGCATCTCCCTTTTTGCTCTACAGGTTATAATAATACATTTGTACTCCGTTTTGCGAACTGTCTTGTTCTGTTTTCGTACGAACGCTTGTTTGTGATATAGCGGTATTTTCTCGGGGTACCGTTAAGCCAGTGCTTACACTGGTTAAACATATTTCCCGAAATGGACACTTAAGATTAGGTCTGAAAACAGAGATAGGATCTTCTATTTACTAGCCACTTCTACCAGAACAACACTTCTAAAAGTGAGTTCTCTCGCCCTGAAGAAAAGGAGATATTTTTTCTTTCTCTTCCTTTGCAGCGACGTAGACGACAGGGACTAGTAGAACCCGTCAAAAACTTCCGAAATAGAACACTTGCAGTGGTACGTACCATCACTTTGGCATTGTTTCGAAGGGTCTCTGGATAATCATCTGGTCGTGGTCACCTTTCTGTTCTGTGAAAACTGAACTGCACTGAACCTAGGGATAATTGTCACAAAAGACTTCCGGCCTACAAGACAATGTCAGGTGGCTGCAAATAAAGCAAGAGGAGTAATCTTCAGGCT